TTTTATGAAAATATTTCAAATTGTATATGAAAAACCACACTGTACCCCATGATTGCATCAATGAACATAACTATCATTTAATAAAAAAAGAGAAAAGAAATAGAAAATGTTGTTTTAAAAGAAAACACACAAGTAGAGAACAGGTACATGAAGAAATTCTTAACATTACCAATAATCAGGCAAAAGTAAACCAAAACCATGATGAAATATTCATTCATATCTACTATGATGGCTAATATCAAAAAGAAAAGAGATAATAGGTATTGGCAGGAGCATGGAGAATAGCAGACCCTGTAAAATATTGCTGGTCATAAATTGATAGACATCATGCAGATATGCTTAAAAAGTTAAAAATATTTAACTACCATATAGCCCAGCTCTGACTTATGGATATTTAATGAAATGAAATAAAAATGAGTATATGAAAAAAATCTGTACCCCATGTGTATTCCAGCATTATGCACAATTGCCAAGTTAATGGAAACTACTGAAATGGCTGTTCATGGTGAACAAATAAAAAAGTATGAGTACACACTCACCATAGACTATTGTTTAGCCATAAAAATGATGAATATCCTGCAATTTCAACAACAGAGATGGATCTGGTGGGCATTATGCTAAGTAACATATGGCTGGCACCGAAAGAGAAATAATGCTATAGGTAACATTAAAAAGTTGAACTCATAGAAACAAAGACTACAACACCAGTTGCCAGGGTCAGGAGGCAGAAAATGTGTGGTAATGACAATCAAGGGTAGGAACTTTTACTTGTAAGATGAATAAGTCATGGAAAACAGATGTAGAGCACCATGTCTACAGTTAATATAATAAGGTATATAATAATATAGCAATATTTTGTAGGCTTAAAGTTTGCTAATATAGTAGATCTTAAGTTTTCTCACTATGAATAAAAGTTAATATGTAAGATGATGGATGCATTTACTACTTTGAGTGTATTATTTCTCAATGTACATACATATCAAATTATTATTTACATTATACACATACACACATTTATATATCAAACATACAAATGACACATTTCTGATAATTTACTGTACAGGAGAAAATTATGAAATAAAAGTTATCAAAATATGAGGTATCAATTGGGAGTATAAAATATAGGTGACAATTCTAAGCTTCTCGATGACATGGTATACTTAGGAATTATCTGAAGAGAAGAGATAACAAACTATATTATAGTTGAGAAATTTGGGCATAGAGGATCAAAATTTCTAAGGTTATTTTGTAATAGAGAAAAGAATACTTAGCAATAAAATAGTTTTAGATGTTTTTTGACACAGAGTTTCATTCTGTCACTCCAGGTAGAGTACCACAGCATTAACATAGCTTGCAGAAAGCTTAAATTCTTGGGCTGAAGTGATTCAGCTGCCTCAACCTCCCAAATATTTCAAACTATTTCAAACTATACCTCCCAAGTATATTCAAACTCCAAATTTTATTGTATTTTTAAAACTTACGTGATTTTATGAAATTAGTGAGTCTAAAGTTTTGTAAAATCATCTCTGAATCCTCCTTAGAACTAAAAATCATAAAGAAGAAAATAAAAAACTCAAATTTATGAAACAACTTTCTTCCATTCCTTTCATACATGTCAGACATGAAGAAAAAAAAGACTTTAGAAGTGAAGCTGGGCATGGTGGCTGAGTCTGTAATCCCAGAAATGTGTAGGTCTAGGCAGGAGGATCAGTTGAGACGAGGATTTTGAAATTATCCTCAGCAATATAATGAGAACTCATCCCCCAAATGATAATAATAATGGCAATTACTATTATTATTAGCTGGGAGTTGTCATGCATGCCTGTAGTTGTAGCTTTTAAGGAGGCTAAAGTGAGAGGATCACTTGAACACAGGAGTTTGAGATTGCAGGGAGCTATGATCTGCCTTTAGACTCCAGTTGGGGGAACAGAGCAAGACCATGTCTCAAAAAAAAAAAAAAAAAAAAAAAAAAATATATATATATATGGTTTAAGAGACAGTTCTTCCACAATATGTGCAGGTATTCCCACATCCTCCTAACTGATGAAAATGCTGTCAGATCCCTTGTTATGTTTTTACAAAAGTCTAAAAAAAAAGACAACAAATATATAAATAAAAGTAAAAAATAATTTCTAAAAAAAAAAACCCCAAAACCTCCCAGATCATGCCAAGTCTTATGGACAGTAGAAATAGAAATACTTCAAAATCATTCTACTTAGTCAGGATACCCTTGATAGCAAAATTAGAAAAAAACATATCATTATAATAAAGGGGAAATTACAGACAAAAAATTTGTTTGCTATTTGTATTTTGTCTTGCGTATTCTATAACAAACAAGTACTAAATGATTATGTATTAAAAAAGTGACTAATTCTCATGCAAATTGTATTTAATTTTGACCAAAGTATATTACTTAAACATTAATTTTTAATTCAACATTTTAGTGTGTTGTTTATCATATTGCATCCTCATTTATAAGTGAAATATGTTTGTAATTTCCTTTTTATAATAATATATTTTCTCCAATTTTAATATCAGATGTATGACATACTTCTATCTGACAATATGAATGTTACTTTCTTGGCATCATTACTATTATTATTGCTTAATATTTCATTGCAGCAATCGTCTGGTTTCTTTTCTGAGTGTATTTATCTTCTTTTGTTCTTTATGAGGTTTTTGTTCTCAGTCCTTATGCTAAAATTTACTATTGTCATTAAATTTAGCCTTTTAATTCTGTGAAGACAAAAGTGGAAACCTAATATACACATGTATATGTAAGAAAAATAAATTAAAAAAAATGTTTTCAGATCATTTAGTACCTTGTAACCCAGGAAAATATGTTTGATTCCCAACTAAGTTCTAAGGAAAATCACTGCAGGGGGTAGTAGAGTTCTTAGAGAATGTAAGAGCACAGGACAGACGATGCTCCTCTGTGAGAGAAAAGACATACTCAGCCCTCTCTATATAATTCTAATGAATAAGAGCTTCCCAAACTATTTTTTAAAGACTGGCTTTCTTCTCCACCTTTGCCCCTCTCAGCTGAGCTATCTGCCTCATTCCCTCTCACCTACCTGGGTGTTTAGCTGTTACCTCTTCTCTCTTCATATTCCAGGGCTCTTTGCTTTGCTCCAGACATGTGATCAGGTCTGGCTTAGAAGCAGCAAGTCCTGTTTTATTAGAAATTATTTGTATGAATGGTGCTGTAGATTATCCAATTACCAATCTAGTACTGTACTGAATAAAGAAGAGAGAAGATTATAGAAAGTTCTACAAAATTGTTCCCCCAAATATTCTTTACTGACAGACTCTTTAGAATAATAACAAAATAGTTCAAATTGATAGCTCCTAGGCTCCTCTTTCCACTGCCACTGAATCAATAATAAATGGTGGAAACTGCATTCTAAGCTACAGACCATTTCTAGACTTTCTGGAGTTACCACTAGAGTGAACGATACAGAATCAGCTCTAGAAAGGGGAAGGTTTATTTCAAGACAAGAATCTAAATCTTTTTTTTTGGTTTGGTTTTTTTTTTTTGCTTTACATCAACAAACCTCCAAATTTCTTCAAAAGTATGGATATAAAACTTTTTCATGTGAAGCAGAATTTCTCAAGAATCAATCTACAGAACAAGAAAGTGATGACCCTCATTTGGAATAGAAATTGTGTATTGAAGTTACCCTCACCGAGGGAGACCAGGTTTCTGTAGTTCTCTATCATCACATTCCTATACAAATTCCGCTGTGCAGGGTCCAGCAATGTCCATTCTTCTGGAGAGAATTCTATAGCCACATCCTGGAATGTCAACAGCTTCTGAAAAAGACACAGATTTACCAACTGGTCATAAGAAGAGTTCTTAATTTCAAAGGGAATATGAATGTTATGAGAACTGTTTCTGACATGTCAGTGACTGGGATTATCCATAATATTAAAAAAAAGTGATATTTATTCAAAAAAAAATCTTATCACTTGAGCCCAAGAGTTTGAGGTTGTTGTGAGCTGTAACACCAGGGCACTTTGAGGGTGACAAAAAAAAAAAAGAAAGAAAGAAAGAAAGAAAAGTGAAAAATTAATGTTTATAAAGTCTTGAAAGTTTTCTAATTTTGAGCAATAAGGATGACACGAGATTCATTAAAATAACATATACATAATATCTTTTTGGATGATAACAAAATTAAGAGCATTCAGACATATATATTTTGAATACTGTACTTATAGCATATAAAACAAGATGTATTTCTTATATAGATAAAAATGATGTGTTAAAAGTATCTCCCCAAATTTAATGTGTACAATTAAGAATTGGAGATCTTTTTAAAATGCAGGTTCTGACTCAGCAGATCTCGGGTGAGGATAAGTTTTCTGCATTTCAAAAAACTTCACCAGTAAAGTCAAACCTTCTGGCCCAAAGAGAATCTGATGTCAAGGATCCAGGAAGTGGTGGGCTTTGGTTTTATCTGACCAGGGAATAAAAATGATAGAATCCATTTTCCAAAGCAATCTGCAAGCAAAGAAGCAATAAGAAGTGAAGCTTCAAGGATTCTGGGAAGATGGCTGATTGGTAGCAACCCTGGTCAGAGGCTCCTGAGCAAAGGAAGAAAAACTGGTTGGATTCAGAATTTATGAAGCCAAAGACAGGGAGCTGAGCCCAGAAAGAAGTTTGGCAAACTGTAAATGCAAGGAAGAGCATCTAAGAACACAAAATACAGGTACAAAGCGGGCCCCAGAACTGCTGGCAAGAGCTACCGGCCTCCCACGGGTGGTGGGTGGCCACAGAGGAGTCCCCTGTGCCAGGAAGGCACAGAAGTACTTGCTAGAGCCTTGCGCACCCCGTGGGCAGCAGCAGAGGAGTCCCCCACTCTGGGAGGGCCCAGAACTGCTTGTTAGAGCTGTGCACTCCACGGGTGGCAGAGGAGCTTCCCACTCCAGGGCTCTGTGCAGGTCCAAAACTGCTTGCTAGAGCCGCACACCTCCCGTGGGTGGCCACAAAGGAGTATCCTGCTCCTAGCAGGCACAGAACTACTTGCTAGAGCCTTGTGCACTCCTGGAGGCAGTGGCAGAGGAGTCCCCTATGCTGGGAGGGCCCAGAACTGCTTCCTAGAGCTGCGTGCCCCATGGGCAGCAGAGGAGTTCCCTGCTCCAGAGCTCTGGGTGGGCACAGAACTGTTTGATAGAGCCACATGTCTCCTGCAGGCAGCAGGTGGTCACAGAGGAGTCCCCTGCTCTGGGCAGGCACAGAACTACTTGCTAGAGCCTTGCACACCTTGTGGTGCAGAGGAGTACCCCACTCTGGGAGGGCCCAGAACTGCTTGCTAGAGCTGCGCACCCCACAGACGGCACAGGGGATCCCCGCTCCAGGGCTTTGGGTGGGCCTTGAACTCCTTGCTAGGGCCGAACACCTACTGCGTGCAACGGGTGGTCCCAGAGGATTCCCCTGCTCCAAGCAGCCACAGAACTACTTGCTAGAGCCTTGCGAGCCCCATGGGCTGTGACGGAGGAATCTCCAACATTGGGAGGGCCCAGAACTGCTTGCTAGAGCCATGCATCCCACGGGCGGCAGAGGAGACCCCTGCTCCAGGGCTCTGGGCAGGTCCAGAACTGCTTGCTAGAGCTGCACGCCTCCTGGAGGCAGTGGGTGGCCACAGAGGAGTCCCCTGCTCCTGGCAGGTACAGAAATACTTGCTATAACCCTGTGCACACCCAAGGGTGGGGGCAGAGTGGTCCCCCACTCTGGGAGGGCCCAGAAATGCTTGCTAGAGCTGCACACCTCGTGCAGGTGGTAGGTGGTCACAGAGGAGTCGCCTGATCTGGCAGGCACAGAACTACTTGCTAGAGCCTCATATGCCCTGCGGGCCATGATGGAGCAGGCCCCAACTTTGGGTGGGCCCAGAACTGCTTGCTAGAGCCACGCACCCCACAGGCAGCAGAGGAAATCCCCACTCTAGGGCTCAGGGTGAGCCCAGAACTGCTTGCTAGAGCTGCATGCCTCCGGCAGACAGCGGGTGGCCACAGAGGAGTCCCCTGCTTCAGGAAGGCACAGAACTACTTGCTAGAGCCACACATGCCCCACGGGCAGTGGCAGAGGAGTCCCCCAATTGGGGCAGGCCCAGAACTGCTTGTTAGAGTTGCACGCCTTACAGGCGGCAGAGGAGATCCCTGCCCCAGGCTCCTGCTCTGAGCAGGTCCAGAACTACTTGCTAGTGCTGTGGGAATCCTGCAGGCAGTGGTGGAGGAGTCCTCCATTCCAGGCAGACCCAAAACAGCTTCCTAGAGACACTCACACCCCACGGGGGCCAGCGGAGGAGTTCCCCACTCCAGGCACCCAAGCTGGGTGGGCCCAGAACTGCTTGCTAGAGCCACACGCACCTTGCAGGTGGCAGTGGAGGGGTTCCCTGCTCTGGGCACCCGTGCTGGAAGTGCACAGATTGGCTTGCTAGTGCCGCACACGTCCAACAGGCAATGTGAAGGAGTCCTCTGCTCTCCACCCAGCTACTCTTGTGGGGCTGAACTAGGACTGATCAGGTCGCTCGCATACCCTGCACTACTGCTGCCATTCCCCTACCCCCTGGCTGTTACAGGGTCCTGAACTAGGACTGATCTACCCACTACAGTTCCCCTGTTCCACCGGTTGCGCTAGAGGGGCCAAACTAGGACTGATCTGGCTGCTGCCAGTCTCCTGCCCCCTGGTCTCTCTGGCAGGCTGAAAGAGGTCTAATCCAGCCACGCACACTCCCAGGCAGCAGCTGCCATTTCACTGCACCCCATTTTCCCCAGCATCTCAGAACTGGAAGAAGACAAAAGACATGCTCTGCCTGTCTCTCTGGGCAACAAGAAGAAGCCACCAAATGAACGGTTCTGATAAGGCCTCCAGACAAGGTAAACTAAGCATGGGGTGGAATCAGTGGAAAAACTTTGGCAACTTGAATAAGCAGAGTAGATCAACTTCCCCAAGTAAAAATCGGGCAGACGAAATTGAAGATCCTATCCACAAGCAAATGGCTGAGATGTCAGACATCGAGTTCAGAATGTGGATAGCAAATAAGATTAACAGAATGGAAGAAAGGACGGAAGTAGAAGTTCAAGAAATTATTCAAAAGATTTCTCAAGAAACTATTCTACAGATCTCTCAAGAAATGATTCAAAATATGCCTCAAGAACTCAACGATTTCAAAGATAAAATGATCAAAGATTTTGAAACACTGAGACAAGAGATTGCAGCCCTCAAGCATCTAAAAGATACAGTGGAATCCCTCTGTAACAGAGTGGAACAGGCAGAAGAAAGGATCTCTGATACTGAAGACAAAGCTTTTGAAGAGGCCCAGGAGCACAAAGATCAAAAGAAATGGAGAGCAAAAACGGATCTCACTCTCAGAGAACTCTCGGATAATTCGAGAAAACTAATATTCGCCTTGTAGGAATCCTTGAAGGTGATGAAGTTGCTTCACAAAACACAGAGACTCTTCTTCATGAAATTATGAAAGATAACTTTTCAGACATGCCAAGAGATTCTGAAATTCAGATAGCAGACAGTTTCAGAACCCCAGCGCGACTCACCCCGAACAAGACATCCCCCAGACACATCATAATTAACTTCAACAAATTTAAGATGAAATAGAAAATTCTGAAAGCAGTCTGATGTAAAAAAACCATAACCTACAAGGGGAAGAGTATGAGGATGACTGTAGATTTCTCAGCTGAAAGCTTTCGGGCTAGAAGCGGATGGTCATCAACTTTTGATCTCCTAAAACAAAATAACTTTCAACCAGGATCCTGTATCCAGCTAAACTGAGTTTCATTTATGATGGAGAAATTAAGTACTTTAGCGACATTCACATGTTCGAGAAATTTGTCATAACTAAACCAGCTCTCCAGGAAATTCTCAAACCTCTCCTACATAATGACCAGTGCAATCCTCTCCACTCAGAAACTTTTGATCAAATTCCAACTTCCACAATGGCAAAAGGATTAAAAATATCTACTGGACTTTTGATCAACTCAATGCTCAAAATTCTACAAGGCTTATCAATAATTTTAACCAATGTGAATGGCTTAAATTGTCCTCTAAAGAGACACAGATTGACTGATTGGATACAGAAACTCAGACCAGACATCTATTGTATACAAGAATCTCACCTTACCTTAAAAGACAAATATAGACTGATCAAAACAG